TCTTTAGGACAGGTGTAACCTATGGTAAAATGCTATTAGCCTATTTTACCATTTTTACAGGAATAAAAATAAACAGCATTTTTGAATGTTTGTTGGGCCTTTTCATTTTAGTCCAAGTGAGAATTAGTGTCTCAATAAAGAGCAATATTTGCCTTGCAAACTGTAACAACCTGGGAAAAAAACTAAGAAGATACCAGATGTATTATATGGTTTTAACACCTTGCACAAGATCTTTCACTTTGTTTTGCATGCAGAAATTGTTAAGGATCATTACATTGTTGTCAGGTTCTTTCATGGAAATGTTTCAGTAAAAGAATTTGATGAGTGTAAATACAATTATCCTATTATAGGTAGAAGAAAAGTGAGCAGTCCTCATAGGCCAGTGATCAGCCAAAGAAGTCACCAAGTTAACGAAGTACAAAATTCTTCTTAGTCTGAGTTGCCACCTTTCATGGGTCTAGTTAGCTACAATCCTTATGGGTATTAGAAACATTGGTATGTTGTAGATGGCATGTGTTCGGGTTTTTGGTGTGCCTCTATTTTTAGAAAGTTCTGGCATAGCAGACCTCTCCTGTCTTGCTCCTCAGCAGTGTATTTCAGTAAGCCTGCCTGTTCTGCTCCCCATTGTCTCTTGTGAATCATCTCACTCCCACCCCTCTTCACCTCTTGCTACCATCCCAGTTCTATGCTAAATAATTAAATCACTAAAAAAGCCCAACAAAAACAGACTCAAAAAATAGTTCTATCTCTGCTTTGAGTTATTAATTGGCAGTGTAACAAATACAGAGATTAGTTGTAACATGAATCCTTTAAATTTTGCAGGCAAGGCTGTTTATGAGTGTTTTCTTTAAATGTGGATGGTACTCCAAGTCCCTAATTTCTTATGCTTTTAGCTTTTAGATCAATAATATAATCACAGCCTGCACAAGCTTTAGTGACGTAAAGGGCTGGGCTGATTCAGCTGGCACACACATTGAGGGAATCCAAGATTATAAAAACAAGCCTAAATATGCTACTTCTTTTTGTAAATGCATAAAAGACCTTTCTATACCATTTTAATGAAGTGCTTTTTAACTTTTATCTGCATTTTATTTTTAGTTATGCATGTTTGGGTTTTTTTTTTAGCCTTGATGCTAAGGATGGGGCACTTTCTATTACAGAATTTTGAGAGATCAATGACAGATGTACTATTAGCATAAGCTTCTTAGAGTTGTGATCAAATATACCACTTGAGAAGAGCTGATATTCTTTTGCACTGTAGTATATAGGTTTATCATTCTTTAGAAATAATGGCTTTCTATGTTCTGTCACAGTTGTTTTATATCACTCTGCCTCTGGTGAAATCTTCATCCTCCCCTTGTACCTCTCGTATACCCCAGTTCTTGTATGCATGTTTTTTTTTTTAAAAAAAGGCTTTTTGAGCCTTTTTTTTTTCCATTATGTGATATGTGGAAAATCTTGTTTGAAAAAAAAAGTTTGACTTTATGTGAAACTTCACTAAAAAACAAAAAAGGTGAAACAATAAATGTAGTAATATATTTACATAAACAAAGCCTCCATTCTGAATGACTTAAGAGCTTGTTGTTCTTCTGAATTACTAGATTTCCGAAAGCAGTTAATAATTACAAAAATCCATGTTTATTATCACACTCTTAAGAAGTTTTAAACGTACAACTCAATGCAATACTCTTATTAAGAATACAGTGCAGTGTACTCCTAAGAAATATACTTAAGAAATATTTTTAGATTGAAAAATGAGTGTTTCGGGGTAGCAGAAATATGGGGGTATTTTCCATTTTCTATTTTTCCGATTTTGCCAAATAGTCAATAATGGATATATCACCTTAAATTAGAAAACATGTTGCATTTTTTTAAAAAGATATTTATTTTTGCATAGAAGGGGGGTGTAAGCTGGAGGTGTGGGGAGTGAGGGTTCACCAGAGAGAGTGGGGAGCGGAACAAATGTGCCATATGTGGATTAGCTCCGTAGCAAGAGATCCAACTCTGGCCATAGAGGTCATAGCATTGAGACTAACCCTTAGGCCACCAGGAAGGCCATGTTGAGCTATTTTGATTAATAGTTTTGATAATTTAACCTTTTTTATGATGCTCTACCAACAGCAACTATGTTTTTATGTATACAGTGAAGTAGAATTCAAGCTTACCCTAAAAGAGCTTATCACATATTGTGTAGAGTGCTGAATATCTTAATTGCGTTGCTGAAACCATTTGGTTGTTTTTCCTTACTTTGTATGACTTTATCCATTACCCGCTCTAATGTTATTCTTCAAATCCTTCTAAATTTCTCTCAAATACCCCCTAATTTTTCTTCTGCCTTAATTGAAACTTTCATCTTTTCTTGACTATTTTGATGCAAAGGACTCTGATTCGTTTTCTCTGCCTTTTGTTTTAATCTAGAACAGATGCTCTCAAGCAATTTTGGTCTTGAATTGGAAAAACTGCTTTCCACCTTCTTTTTCCTTCACTCTGACAGTACAACCACAATCTGACACCTGTGTGTGGACTTTTTAGTTTTTAATTCACTTTTGACGTTCTGGAGATAAGTGTCAGATTCCATGGGATGCAGAGCTCAATTCCAAGATTGTTTCCTCCCAACCTGTTTCAGATACCACCTGTTCTTCTGACCCACTGGCTGAAAATCTGGTTGTCTCCTCACGTTTGTTAGTGTCTTACAGAACTGAGGGAAACACATTTACCAACTTATTCATGGACATGATAAAAGGCAGGTATGATAAAGGGTACATTTAAACAAGTGGATACATTTGGACTAGAATGGTGATGTCCCAAACACAGGGACATCTATCTCCATGGCATTGGGGTGCATCACCTGCCAACTGCAGTATATGGAGGTGTTCACCAGCCTGGATGCCCTCAAACGCCAGTACTGTTGGGATTTTATGAAGTAGTCTTCATGTAGACATGACTATGTTTTCTAGCATCTCTTCTCTTTGGAATATGGGAGGGAAGTAGCACTGAAAATTGAGCTTCTAATTATGGCTTTGGCTTTCTGGTGACCAGCCTCCACCCAGGAGCCTACCCAGAGTTTTCTCTTTATAACAAAAGATGTACCTAGCCCTCATGTCACTTAAGAACTTAGAAGATTTTAGTTTAGAGGCAGAGACCAAATTTACATATTCTGTTACCTCACTGCTCTTAGCCATTGTCATAGCCCTTCTACAGGTAGGTATATAACAGTATCATACAAGATGAAGAAAATGAGTAAGTTAACTCAAAACTACCCTAGTAAGTTCATTATAAAGTCTGTACTTTTTGTGCTTTTTTTTTCTTGACATAGATGCTAGGGTCTGAAGCCAGAAAGACTGGGCCAAGTATCAGCTTAATATCAACAGCTTTATGAACTTAAGAAAGCTACTTATCCTTGTTAGTTTCCTTATCCTTAAAATACCATTTAAGAGTTGTGATAATAACAAAGTTCCAAAAATGGGCCCTCCCTGGTCAGGCAACAGGTTAAAAGCATCAGCACTATGAAACTATCCACAGCCACTACAGCATGAGTTCGATTCCTGGCTAGGGAAGTGACCCTCATGGCATGTCAGACCTCTCCTGACCCACCCCAATGCTCCTTTTAGTAGTGTGTTTCAACAGATCTGCCTTTTCAGCTCTCCTCTACGTCTCTGGTGAATTCTCTCACCCTCTCCCTCTCCTCTGGCTTATATCCCAGGTTCTTTTATTTCTAAATCTTAAAAAAATAAGTTCCATAAATGTGTTTGGACAAGTACTTTAGCACTCAGTGTTACTTTTACTTCCAACCTAATCTCTTCCATTTACAAGTAGAATAATTTGGCGTGAGTGCTGTTTTGAAGCAGCAGCTGCAAGCCAGAGTTTAAGAAAATGACTGCTCAAATTAAACTGACTTGGGTTCAAACTTGAGGTACCCTTTATAAAATTAACCTGGGCCCTCCCTGTGGTGCGGCAGGTTTAAAGCACTACACTAAGAAGCTAAAGCCACTTCAGCATGAGTTCCATCCCAGCCCCAGGAGGTGACCCACATGGTGTGGCAGACCTCTCCTGACACACCCGCTGCTCCCCTCAGCAGTGTGCTTTGTTGATCTTCCTCTTCTGCTCCCCACTGTGTCTTTGATGAAGTCTCTTACTGCCCCTGTACCTCTGGCCTGTACTCCAGTTCTGTATGAATAAATAAATCTTTAAAAAAAAAATTAACCTGGAATTTCCACATCCTGACCTGTGATAGAACGATACTTCCCACAGAGATTAAATCAGGTGATGTACATGTGGTAAAAGGCAAGTGTTTAATAAATATTAACTATTGTTCATCTTTATATTTAGTACAATGTTTAACAAACAGTGACAATTACGACTTCTTTGGTGATTTCCTTCTCTAGTTCCCTCATTTTCTTCCCTGGAATCACCCTAAGTATTTTATTTGCTCACCATCTCAACATCCATCCCCAACACTCAAAGTTGCACTTATACCAAATTTTCAACAGATGGAATGTACAAACGTTGATCACTGCAAGTCACCGACAGGGAAATTAAATTTTTAAACTCTTATTTATATTTACTACATTAAGGACCAACAAAGTATGAACATTGATGTAACTAAAGTATTGTCTTCTGTTAACTAGTCACTCTTCATTGCTAAGCTTTTATCACACAGAAGGCTCAAAATCCTTAATTTCACATTTAATGCACTTATAAAAAATAAGTACCCTGTGCAAGAATTATAATGGAATATTACTCTTCTTACAAATAAAATTAACAAAGATACAAACTGTCCTAAGTTTAATTTTTCGCCATAACTAGTTATGAAAACTTCCTACACTAATAGAGAGAATATTGAACTTTTCCAACACCACCTTTCTCCAAGCACCTTTATATTCCTCCCAGTTCTTAGTATGAACTTAATATAGAGGTCAAATAAATTGAGCAATAACCCAAACAAATTACCCTCAAGACTCTAAGCATTTAAGGTCAGATATATAAATACAAACATTAAATCACGTTAACAGTAAAAATTTATTCATCTAAAATTGCCCCCCAAATTAAAGCAACTTTTATTTAAGTTTAATGCTCTTTTTAACTCCTGCACGAATGCCAGATAGTTCACCACTATAACGTTGCTCTTCTCTACGAACTTCACGAACTTGTCCTCTTCGGCGAATTTTGGCTTTTCTGAACTTCTCCCGGTGTTTCACTCTGGGATTGCGATCAATCTTCTTTCTCCTAGGTGTAAGTCCTCGATTTTTGGCAATTTGATAGGTAATCGCTCTCTTTGCATTTTGATCTTCTAGAGCTTGTTCTTCAGAACTATTTTCTTTCTTTCTCTTCAATTTTTGCTTGTCTTCCATTTCTTTATAGTATTCCACCGCAGCTTCTTCATCAAAATTGGAGTCATCAGAAAGATCCTTAACAGTAGAGGTAGCAGCAGTTGCTGAAACAGATTTTGCCTTAGTCTTGGCGAATTTTGCTTTTGGATTTAATTCTTCCTTTCTAGCCTCATCTTTAAGTGAGAGTAGATGTCGAATCTCAGAGGACAGCCTCTCATCCACAACTGACAGCTTGTTGATCAAATTTCGGTAGGTAACAAGCCTTTCTATAACAGGATGTCCATGTGCCGGGGCTCTCCTCGCTTTCAAGATCAAATAAAAACTGATATTGGAGCAGTAGTTCAAATAGAGGTTGTACTTGGTTCTTAGGTATTCACTTCCTTTTCCAGGTGGAATAATTCCTTGCTCGACCAGTTGTAGCAAGGGCTCCAGCTCATCCTTCACCTCTGTCAATTTAACCTTCAGATCTTCTATCAATTCTAAGAGTTCTGGTGATTCCTTTCGCAGCATCTTCAATTTCTCTTTTACGGAAAATTTCGCCAAATCCTTCACCACCCGTGTCTGAGACTCGTTTGCCTGCGACAGTGGTTTTGCAAAGGCCTCCACCCAGTCGACCCCAAAATCTTCCTCTTGCAGGGCTTGGGTGAGGCGCCGCTGAATAAGCTGGGCCTCCTCTTCCTCCTCTCTTTCTTCCTCCTCTATTTCTTGCTGACTCTGTCGGCCTCGGGATTTGGAACCGTAGTCCGTGTCATAGTAAAGTTTTTTCCTCTGACCCCACGACAAGCTGGGATCCACAGAGGCCTCATCCTCACTCTGCACGGAGCTCTCATCACCACCATCTTCCTCTTCCTCCTCCTCCTCTTCCTCGTCCTCCGAACTTTCTCCATCTTCATCATCCTCATCCGCAATATCTAGGGGTAGCACCTCCTCCTCCTCATCACCACCCTCTTCATCCCCACTCTCAACTTCGTTCCAGCCCTTAGCCAGGACGGCCCGAGACCGGGCCTCGTGGAAATCATCTACCTTATCTTGGTAGTAGCTGGAATCTCCAGGCGAGGGTGGCAGTTCTAAGTCGTCATTGTCCTCCACTGCGCCGCGATCTGACTTGGCTCGCACAGTTGCCCATTTGGCCGCTCCGCGTCGCCGAGATCTCCCCACCATAGTATGCAGTCACGTCGTACACAGACGTCGGTCGAACCTTAGGCCGCTTCTGATCTCGGGTTCCGAGCGACGCGACTTTTTAAGCAGCCACGCGCTCTCTAACCACGCAAGTTTGCCGGCGCACCGCTCTGCTGTGCGAGTTTCCACTTCCTTCCGGTCCCACAAGATATTCTCCGTGTGGCGTGTGAACCAATACTTCCGCTCAGTACCTCAGGCCGACAATACGTTAAGAACGTCTTCTTATTGCTTGTTCCTTTAACGCCAGTCAATTCCGGTGCATCAACACTGTCCGTGTAGCAACAGTAGGGATAGAAAGTTCTGTTCCGTAGAGCCTTTCCGGGAGACTGTCGTTCTTACTCTCGCGATCGTGGGTGTGGCTGGGAGCGAGACCGTGACGACACCGCGCAGCTAGGTCCTGGTGGCCAATAGAGGGTGCTCTACTGCTACGCAGAATCGAGGCCGCGAAAATAGTCCAGTGTGTTGCACTGCGCATGTCCCGGGCGTTGGGCACCTAGTGCGGGTTGGTAGGTTTTCCACTTTACAGGATTTGTTTTGTTTTCTTCGCTTATCGGTGTAGTCGTTAATCAGGGCTCTTCCACATCCAATTACTACTTTTCTGGGCACCTTGGTGTGAAACCGCGGCGTGCGGGCGAGAGCCCGCGAAGGCTCCGGTGCTGAGGGTCGTCAACACTCCAGCGCCCTGCAGGCTTGGTGATTCTGTGGGCACTGGTGTCCTTTGAGGGTGCCCTCCTGGGGTTGTCAGCCCTAGGTATCCTTGAGGGGTACGAGTGGACAGGCAAAGCCCTGCTCTTGGGGCGGGGGGTGATCGTTTTCAGGGTCCTCGAATTCAAGTACTCTGCCGACATTGAGACAGAGGAATCTAGTGGAAAAATGCTCATTCTTCAACGATTTGGATCATTTATCTTAACTCATAAGGGTGGACCCTTTATCGTTATTAAGCCTTTAACAATGAATTGCAGTGTCTATTTTGTTTCTATAGTCATCATTTTTTTAAAGAACCAAAAGTAATATTTAAATATTTAATAAAAAAATTTACTATATGACTGGTGGGAATTTAGCCTGATAGTTAAATGCATATTTAGTTCTTATCCTCGCATCACAGATTAGGTTGTGATGACTGAAGTGTAAAAGCAAAAAATTTTTTAATGCTTAGAGAAGTGGTCATAGTAATATAATTTATTATGAGAATGATAATGTGTATATTTTAAAAAGTTTCACCGTTCCCGTAGTTCTCCCACCATATATGTATTCTTGGTGTTAACTATCAGCTTACCTAGATGACTTAAGCGTAGAAACTTCTTGAACTATTTTTGAGTGCAGAAATGAAAGAATGATTTTGTTGTTGGAAGAGATGTAGTTACCATCTGCTTTCGTTTCTGTCAGAAACCATTTACTTTGAAACCAGTAAGTAATATTCTTTTAATAACTAAGGTTCGTATCTATTTAAAGTCATAAAAAATCCTAAAAGTGATATGGAAGTAAAATGGATAATTTCTACTGAAATACGGAATGAGCAGAGGATCCTTCTAAGCTTTTAGTTTAAAGTGAGTTGGCTTGGTGGTCTTAAATTACAAAATACAGATTTAAGTGAACGTGACATAGCCTTCTTTTTAAATTTTAATTCAACTATACTATGAAATTATTTTCAAACATTTTTTCCCCCCCTGGTATTTTTTTCTCATGGAGAACCTTATAGCTGCTTTTGTTTAAATATTAACTATTCAATGGTAATTATAGCTTTAATGAGGGTAGGTCTTCTGAAAGATGGGTCATGTGAAAGTTTTATCTTTAGCTATCCTTTTTTCTTTATACAACAAAAACAGCTCTTAGCTTAATATTTCAGGACTCATTTTTATCTGGTCCCAACTTAGTTTTCCTAGTACTTTTATTTTGAACTCTATATCCTACGGAAACTAAAATACTCGTTCTTATTTTGAGAATTATTTCTCAGTTTAGGCTGCCCCAGATAAGTTCTTAGATGACTTTCAAGACCAGCTAAAGTCATAACTCCTTTAGGCTGTATATTCTGATATTTTCTTCCAGTAACATTTACTAGCTCTTTAACTTTTCCTATGCTAGGATTTTTAACATTATCTCCATCTGTGAAAACTATCTTTTCTGCCAGGATATCGCCATTCACTACTGTGATCCTTATAATATCTAATATGACTATTTGTGTATTTTAAGTATTGAAAATGAGTCATAGAAGTTAAATTGAGTTATTTTAAATTTCAGTAAGGTTTTAGAAGTTATTAAAAACAACCTGAGGGCCCTCCCTGGTGGTGCAACGGGTTAAGGCACAGCACTAAGAAGCCAAAGCCACTTCAGTATGAGTTCGATCCCCGTCTGCGCAGGAGATGACCCATGTGGCGCTGCAGACCTCTCCTGACTCGCTTGGATGCTCCCCTCAGCAGTGTACTTTGTCCATCTGCCTGTTGTGCTCCCCACTCTGTCTGAATCCTCTGTCTGATTCCTCTTACCCCCCCTGCACCTCTGGCCTGTACCCCAGTTCTGTATGCACAAATAAATAAATCTTTAAAAAAAAAACCTGAATTTTTAATAAGTGGTCTGCAAATGTAACGGGTCTATATTTATTTTTGGGATAAAGAAACAGACTTTATGCTAAGAGCAGAAAGGAACCGTTGGAAGGTTTTAAAGAGGGCAAAATTAGAGATTTGATGGAAAGAGATAATTGGTACGACCTTAGTGTGAGGCTATTGTGTTCTGCAAAGGTAATGAATTTTAGTGTCTAAATTAGGTCCTAGGAGTAAAGAGGGGGCATCCCTGGCATAGGGGTTAAATGCCTGCACTGTCATCTCTACTGCCTGAGTTGGATCCCCCACTAGGGAGTTGACCCACATGGCGTGACAGACCTCTCCTGTCTTACCTTGCTGCTCCCCTGAGCAGTGTATTTCAGTAAACACCTCTGTTTAGCTCCCCACTTTGTCTCTGGTGAATCCTCTCATCCTCTATATCTATGGCTTTTACCCTAATTCTATGCAAAAATAAGTGTTTTTTAAATAGCTGTTTAGGAGATGGTATTCTAGAACTTAGTGTTTAGTTAAGTATGAGGAAGAGTTCTAGTGATTCCCAGATTTTCTGGGGCAACTGAGCAGGTGAGGGCTATTTTCAATCTCAAATTTACACTATCTGGATTAACGATCTATATGCAACTAAATATATAATTTAAACCTATTCAAGTTTAAGATTTCTAAAATTACCCTCTGAAAGAATAAAGATTGCCACTGCTAACAAAAAATACATCTGAGTAAAAAATGTACCGAATAAAACGACCATGTGTGCTTGGCTCACATTTTTACTGTGTCCAAAAGCTTTAATAGACTAGGCAGCCTGCCTTCTTGCCTGCCTACCCCTCCCCTTCACTTACTTCCTTTCAGCTTTTTATTAACCATCTTACTAAAAAGTGGTTTAGTAAAAAATAACAAACCAAAATCCATATCCTCATCAGACTCAGAGTATTTGCTTTGGAATTCTCTGTGGGGGCAGCAGCAGAGGAGCGTGGAGGACCTTCTGCAGGTCTACCATTCCCTACTCCATAGATAAGAGTCCTGAAGTCTACATCAGTCACCACCACGGTGTTTGTGAACAAACCAAGCCAGAGAGGTTCTTTTTTCAAGTTTTATTTATTTATGCATGCAAGAACTGGGGCTGTAGGCCAGAGGTGTGGGAGTGGGGTATTCACCAGACACAGAGTGGGAATAGGTAGATCCACTGAAATACACTGCTGAGAGGAGCAGCAGGAGAGACAGGAGAGGTATGCTGGGCCATTGTTGGCCAGCCTGGGATCCAACTTGTGCTGCAGAAGCTGCCAATAGCTTGATAGTGCTGAGACTTGAATCTCTGCACCAGGGATGCCCTGTGTTTGGTACTTTAAATACATTATCTTACCTAACTTAGAGTTTATGAGAATGGTGTCATTATCTGACGCTTTAGGGTAAGTGTGTTGAAGCATATAAAATGTATGATCTCAGATTCATATTGGCATTAAACTTTCATTTCCTCAGATACCATATTTTTTTTTCTGAAATCCAAATTGTTGTTGTTATATTCTCCACTTACACAGTATATATACTTTCTCTTTTTTTCCTGACTTCTCTTTCAGTCTGCTCAGGAGGCTTTGGAGTCCTGGAACTCAATATCTGCATAGACATTACTTCCTCAGCGTAGTCAAAGCTTCTTCAAGATGCTTTGTTGACCCTGCCTACCTGCTGCCCCAATATCTGCACTCTTATGGCATGTTGAATTTTATTACCATGAAAATACAGATCATTACTCAATACACTGTAAATCTATCTTGATCAAAGTTCTTGCCTGTTGTGTTCCCTGCTATCTCTGCTATGTAGTGTAAATGCCAGTAGATATTTTTTTGAATGAAAGAATACATAAAGGACCATTTGAATTAAGGACAGGTAAACAGCATTAACCTTACAAATCACATACACGTATTTAATATAATGACAACTTTTGGTATCTCAAAGAACACTTATTTAAAATAAATGTATGTGGTGGTTCCAATTTTAAAGGAAACTATAAGCCATAAAGATCCTGTATTTCCTACTGGTGCTGTTGGAAATGATCACGAACTTAGTGGCTTGTAGCAATACAAATGTATTATCCTTCTTGTTTGGTGGGTTAGACATGGTTTCACTGGGCTAAAATTTATCAGGGTGTCATAGGGTTGTGTGCCTCCTGGAGGCTCTGGATTTTCTTGCCTTTTCCAGTTTCTACGTGCTGACTGTGTTTCCCTTCAGCTTCAAAGCCAGTAATGCAGGCAGGATCTTCAAACATGCCTCACTCTTTCACTGACTTCTGCTTACCTCTTTCACCTTTAAAGACCCTTATAATTGCACTGGGCTCACCTGTATTATCCAGAGTAATCCCCCCATCTTGTGGTTAGCGGATGCAAACTTTAATTCCATCTGCAACCTACATTTTCTCTAGTAATGTAACATATTCACAGGTTGTGAAATTAGGACAGGGACGTTTTAAAAAAAATTTTTTTTTACATTATTCTTCATTTTGTGCAAGGACAGGGACATTTTTGATTGGTCACTATTCCTGTTTAGCATAGTGACTTACTATTTACATTAAAGTAAAATGAGATGCTGCCCTTTCTTTACATAAAGAACAATATTAATTGATAGGAAAATAATTGTTTATAGGTTTCAGCCATGTTCCAGGTGCTTTACGTTTATAATTCCTTTTATTCCTGTGAGGTAAGTACTATATTCATGCTCATCTTTAGATGAGAGTTTACATAACCAAAGTCCCTTCTGAACCCAGGCAGGCTGATTCCAATGCCTTTGCTCTTTGTTCAGTAGGAAGATGGAAGATGAAGTGTCCTTTAAGTCAAACCTTTATCATGTGAAGTGGTGGTGTTTTAGATACTGTTAGTTATTGGAATACAAACTATATTTACAAGTATGATGTTGCAAAATTAACTGGCAGTCATTGTATACCCACTGGGCCATAGTAACTTACT